TGAATACGGTGTTTATTGCGGCGACATGGAGAATGATGGGGGAAAGACATGAGCTGAACATGCTTGCGGTGAATGCTACATGACGGACAGACCCATTCTGTAATCCATCTGGTTGCGGGCTTGCTTCCCGTGCCTGGGCGCGACCGTGTGTGAGCGCGAGCGAAGAGCGCGAACGGTGAAACCACGCGATAGTGATTAATTTCTTTTGATTTCGACATTGTACTTGGCGAGTCGTACACTGGGAACCTTGTGGCTTTGCAGCAACTGAGACAAAGGTTACACCATGTTTCGACGTCTTCCATCCAGCCACCAATGGCGCCCTTGACAGCCAACGCCAGCAGACCCCTTTGTGCCAAGTGAAGCCCCAACGACGTCCTTGTGCCGATGCACAGATTCGACAAAGCATCACAGCCTTGCATGGCTGCCAGGCGTTGCAAACTGCAATGCAACCTCCACACATACACATCCTGATCCACACAAAAAGGAGACACGCATCAGTGAAAGAGCATACAGGAGCCCGACCAGGGGAACTGAACACTGCCATGAAACTAAGACCTTGAGGAACCACCATGGCGCTGACTCATAAACATGACAAGAGAAAGTGCACAGTATCACGCTCTTCGGCAACTGTTGCTTCTCCATCCACAACCTCAGCACTCCACACTGCAACGTGCACACCAAGCTGGATCGCCTCACTTGTTCGCCCCGCCAAAAGCGGAGTGGCACTGGTGGTGTTTGCTGTGATAACACTGCCAACAGGGGCGAAACTGCTCCTGCATTCAAAATGGATATGATAGTCGCTCCTCCACCAGTTATAGGTTCAATGCCCACTGCAATACACTGGGACGAAGTGCTCAACGACAACTCCCGACCAATTGCAGAAGAAGACAATTCTGGGCGAAGATGAACGATCTCTATGTCCACAAGTGCCTATTCCGCACGGGCAACTGGCATCACTATCCTGAGAATCACTGCTGTCCTGCTGCTATCAAGGTGATGCTTCCTACCTCTGTTTCTGAACATCTCCCTTCATGGCCTCTATCTGTACCTCCGGAGGCTGAGCGTGTTCCTGCGTTTCCAGTCTGCCCTCCTGGAGGGGCGGCAGTGTGTGTGGCGGTGGCCCTTCCCCACCAGGCCGCGGTACTTCCTCCCCGAGGAGGTCAGGCCATGCATCTCACGGTGTTTGTGCACCGGCCTGCAAATCCAGTTGATGCGGGGGTCCTGCAGAAGCAAGAACCAATCAAAAAAAGCCGAAAAAAGATGTGTACTTCTGCTCGGATGGCATTTATCTATTTGAATGACACTCATCAAGGTGTGGACAGAAGCACAAACAAGAGTTATGCACTGCACTTGAAAGATTTCCTCTTTCAAGTGTGAGGAAATGGTACTATTGAGGGATCGCAGTTTGGGGGCACTGACGCCGATGCACCCTGATGACCAGGCCCAATAATGCGATTGATCATTCTGCTGATCATCTGATGTGTCACACGTCCATCCAGCGACCAAATGCTGTGCAGCTGCCTGCTGAACACGGGAAGCAATGTGTCGACAAGATGCAACAACTGTGTGCAGGATGAACACCACAGTATAGTCTCCTATCTTGGAGGGCGCGAGTCTGGGAAAGCTGAGGGTGGCAAAGTATGGAAGACCACTATAGGCAGTGCCCCTGCTGTGCATCTCCCACCAGAACGGACCAGGATGTCTGGAACACAGGATCCCTAATCAATACTCGACACTCACATTTCTGATAGCCTGGTGGAAGGGGTCAACAAGGATGACCTCGTAGTACTTGTAGGTGCTGTCCTGCAGCAGACAGACAACTGTTTGCATTAATTCTGTTCAGCACAACAGCGTGCACTCCAACAGAACACATCAGAACACTAGAAAAACAACAGCAGAGCAAGCAAACAGCCATACCAATGCATGAAGCAGCCCCAAGACCACCAAACAGGAAACATGAACAACATATCTAGTGAAATCTCATTGCAACAAAGCTGCAATGCCAACCTGGAGCTGCCACGGCAAGATGATGCAGATGCAAAGCACAAACAACATTAGGACTTTACCACACTTGCTTAATAGGTGGCACAAGGCCCACATCCATCCACCAGAACAGGTGTGATACCTGGACTCTCAACTGCGAAGCAACTTGAGGGATAAGATAAGAAGCAAGTGCGATTGAATCACTTGCATTTACACCCAGACTCCTTCAAAAGCGAAAGACCAATTCCATCCCCCTGCACTGCTGCAACGAGGGCCTGCCAGTCGAACAAAACGTCTCCGCCACCACCCAATAGGCCACAGGCGGCCATGAAATTTTTCCCTCGATCATTTCTGTGATCGTCAATTCTTGTTTCGACACCCTAAACCAGAAACCACCTACCCACCTCGTTGATCCAGTAGCTGTTGAGCACCCTCAGGGCGCCGCACTTGCGCCCCACGCGCTCCTCCGCCAGCGACTGGTGGTTCTTCTTGGGCTTGATCGACGTGATGCCCTGGTGCACGGGCTTGCCGTACACGATGCCCTGGAAAACAAAGCAGCCGGACCCGCCGGGGCGCATCGTGCGTGAGCCGTGAGCTCACACACCTAACCCCTTCTTCCCGAACCGGCAGGGGCGCTCGAAGAGCAGCCCAGGGGGCGTCCGCGCGCCCATCTCCAGACAGCCGCCAGCTGACTCTGTTTCCGTGCAATGAAGTGCGCTTGCCTGCTGCCCTGTCAGCCCACAGCACACCGCGGCGGGGGGCAGATCGCCGATCGGGCGCAGAAGGCCGCAGCCAAGGGATCCGGGGATCCAGGCGAAGATCGCCGTGTGCAAAACTCCGCAACCAGAGACAGCGAACGACATATTGAGCAGCGGCGAGGGGACATAGCCCGAACACCTTCAGTGTCAGCTGGCGCCGTTTCCAATTCGCGCTCACCGCGCGGCGAAAGAAGCAAGGCCAATCCGCCAGCGATCCTACCAGATCGCCCGGCCACGCGATCGCAGAAATGCGCCGCGATTACCCATTCCTCCACAGAACAGATTGGGCCCCCAGAACAGATCGGAGCAGAACCATGAGAGGCCGGCAAAACGGGCGGGCGGCCCAACGGGAGCCGGCAGTACCTTGGAGGCCTTCTTCTTCCGGTTGCCGCGCCGCACGCGCACCCTGTACACCACGAAGCCCTGTTTGGCCTTGTAGCCCAGCTTGTGCGCCTTCTCCGTCCTGGACGGCCGCGTCAGCCGCACGATCGACGGCCACTGGCGGTACTCCCAGGAGCGGATGCGCAGCAGGTAGCGCAGCACGTCGCTCTGCTTCTTGCGCCAGAGCTCCTCGATGTACTGCGTGAGGCGCCGGCGGCCGTGAGCACAGCCCCTCGAATGCAATCCGCCTCAGAAGGCGCAACGGCAGGAAAAAGGGACGGCAACGGTTCTGAAACTCGCGGACCCGTGCATCCAAGCGCTCGGGAGCCATGGTCCTGTTTTTGGTCATCTCTTGCACAGAAACCCGGCGTCCAGAGATGATGTGTGCACGGCGTACCGATGGCGAGGGGGAGGTTAGGAGGACGGCGACAGCCGCGTTCTCGCAGGCCTTCTAGCGGTGCCCCTCCGGTCGTGCTCACCTTGTAGGCTCCCATGTTGCCGCGGGGCCGCGCCCAGCGCCTTGCCCAAGGCACCCACGCCGCAAGGAGGGGGCCAGCCGCCAGCACTGGAAACGGAGAGCTCCCAAGACCAAAATTTTCCAGCAGGCTGAGCGTTTTTTATTCTTTGTTTTTTTGGGGGGGGGGCGAGGGGCAGGAAAGGGAATAAAATGCAAAAAAAAGTCAGGGATGGCAGCAATTAAAACCCAGCCCTCCGCCGGGCTGTTTCTGGGAACTTGCTTGTGAGGCCAAAACAACAGACTTGAGCCACAGAATCTTGGCGCGAGGAGTCGTGCGCAGGCAACAGCCGGTCGGTGCGTTTCACTTGGCTTGCCATCCAATTTTCTGCTTTGGAGACATGTCTTTCAATGCAGTTGGACAGGCACCACATGGAAGCAGTGTTTGGGCAACGAGTCTGTTGGAGCCGGCCGATGGAGATAGTAGCATCCCGTCAAGCGAATGCGCGACGGCCACAGCGGCTGTGTGTGGTGGCGCCCCCAAATGAACCTGGCTGGCACAGAATATGACGGAATTCCATGACAGAAGGCTGGATTGCACAGAATATGGAAAACATGACACACTGCCTGCAACCATCCAAACCATCTAAAAGAACTCGCAAAAGAGCAGCCTCTCCCTCGCCACCCCTTGTTGCGCGAGCCGGTTTGCAATGTCCGTTGCCACACTGCCCGGCAGGCCAGACATCAAGACGGCGCACTCAGCTAGGCTGCCGCCCATCAAATCAGACAGCCCATTGTTGGATTCGAAAATGCTGGTCTCGAGGAGGTCTTTGACACGGCCGTCAGACACGTCCTCGTCCCCATCTTGCCTCAAATACAGTGTCACGACCTTGACCTGCGCAGAACAGAGAAGACGACAAGTTGGGAGGCGTTGGTCAGCTCACTGCAGAGATACAAATGCATGGGGGGCCATCAATTTTCCTTGCAATGGCAAGACCCATCAAAGGACTCGCACAGCGGGGACACCACGGCCCAACCTGCTGTGATTGAAACACTTCTGGTTTTAATCTGGCCACGAATTCGGAACATGGCAGCCATTCACGTCGATGGTGCATGTGGCCATGAAGGGCATTCTTGCCACTTGCACCACTCTGTAAGAACCCCTTCCTGTGCCGCTTGTGTTCTTCTGGATCAACTTGTGAGGACTAAAAGCCGTTCCACAAATGCTCTGACTGGGCAAGGGAGTGGTGAGACATTGCGTGATGTGTACTTGTCATGACAAAAGAGTACTTTGGTGGCACAATATCATACATCACAGACATGCCATTCAATGGGACAACAATCAACATATGGCCTGATCCATTTTTGACAGCTGTCCGTTCTGTCTCTTGCAGGCAATCGCAGGCACAGTGCAAGGCTTATCCCATGGCCGAGTGGGTTAGTTCCCCATGAGTACCACGCAGGAGTGCACAATGCCCAGTTAAATTGGCCAAACCAGCAAGGAGGTGTGCGGACCCACATCGACAGGTTGATTGTCTACAACTACAGAGGGGCTGCGGCAGAGGTGCCAACCAACAGCACCAGACAGAATGCATAATACGCCACTGAGCCACTGAACCACTCTGCTCTCCATCACGTTGACCTGGGATAAGGCTGGGTCAGTTTCTGGCAAAGGCATTAATTGGAAGCTTGAACAGCAGCTTGGAAGCAAAGCAAGAACGTTGGTGTCTTACCCCCATGTCCCTCCAGGCGTCCCACTCCTGGAGGCAGGCGGCCGAGACGGGTGTGTGCGCAATGTACACAATTGCGATGGGCCTTGTGGTGGCCAGGGCCTGTACTGGCGCCCACTTCAGGACTGAGCGCAGCGGCGACAGGCCAGGCGTACCAGCACAGAGCATCAGCAGTGGTCGGCGGTCCTGGTCAGCGAGGTTGGTGAAAATGGTAGCCGGTTAATATCGCAACTTGGGGCCCACTAGTTCAGGGAGAAGATGATATAAAAAGGGACAAGGATTGCTGCTCATAAGAGCAACAAAGCCAGGGAGTTGATGTTCAAAGACGAATATCAGGCAGGCATTGCGAGCGTGAACGACACCTCACCTCTAGCGCACTGGGAAGGCCAACGTAGCTGCTGAATAATGAAGCGAATCCCCGCCCCAGCGCCTGACTCACCTCCACACAAGAAATGGGACACGAAAAAAATGATCAGGAGATGGAAGGGAACGAGGCAGTGGCAATCACGTGGACATCGGCAGTCCGCAAGAAGCATGCGCCCCCTGTTGATGGATTTTTCAACAATGCTAATGCCCACAAGACTTTGTTGAAAGCTTGCAAAATCTCTGCTGGAACTGTCTTTGTGTTTTGAAGCTGCAGGGAAACTGGGCAACAGAATTTGCCCTTGTGTTTCAGACATCATTTGTGTGTCAACACCCACTGTGTTGAGATACACACTGAGCACGAATGCACCATGTCGCCCCACTGCAGCAGAATCAACGTTGAGGCACTCAGGCATGGCTCCCGGCAATGCACAGCTCTCTAGTTCACTATGCACCGCCTTCAATACCCAAGCTATTAGCTGCTTCTTGTATCACCTCAATTTGACCACCAGGTGCAAGATCCCCCAGTATGTCGTCCTCGCCTCCCCGATCAGTGAGAATCTGTGGTGCACGCAGAATTGTTTCAAAGGCTCAAGGAATCACTTACCAGGGCACGAGTTCTGTGTTGAGCCACTTGTGTATTCTTTTCCACCAGTCTTGCACATTCAAATATTGACCATGGCATTGACCACGCCTTGCGCTTAGTCCACACTCGGTCACTCCCAGGCACGGGAAGGAAGGCGGCAACCAGATGTGTTACAGGATGAACGTACCAGTCAAATAGCACATACAGTAAACGTCCTCATCTCTTGTCACGTTGTCTCAATGTACATTTCTCCATGAAACACCATATAGCACATTATCACTCAATGACTCCTTCCTCGCCTTCACACTGACAAATCTCCAGATCACCGGAGCAACCCTGCATTCCTCAAACTGCTGCTGTGGTACACCACTATGCCTGGGGTCCCTTATGAAGCAAGACATCATACCCTCTGCCAAAATGAGCTGCAATGGCCTTGCAGGCACCATGGGGTCCCAAGCTGCCATTCACAGAAATCACATGAAATCTACATGGTGAATGGAGGGCGTCCATGACTGCTGGTACTGACAGGAAATGAAAAGCATCACAGGTGTTGACTGATCACCTCAATTATAGATGCATCAAGTAGGGCTGACTCCCGGCGTGCTTCGTATGGGGAGGACGATATGGCCAACAACTTCCATGTCTTGGGGGAAGGCTCGTTGTCGCTGACGTCACTGCCCAGAGGCCGCACAGCAACAAACTGCCCTGGCAACTTCAACCAAACACAGACAGAGAGCAGGTGAGAAACAATGTGTTTGTGAGACTTCAGACACCTCTACAGACAATATGAATGCAAGTTGATAGAATAAAGCAAGTCAAAAGAGCAACAACAGCTTCCCCAGGCTCCCTAATTCTGAGCTTGACAGGACTCAACACCAGCAATAGCCTGTTCAGCTGAATGTTGCACTCCCAACAGCATCTGGGTAAACATGACAAAATATCGGAATGGCTTGTGTGTCCATTCACTCCTGCAACACAAAGTTTTCAGAAGCAAAGACGCTTGATATCAACAGGAAAACGCTGATGTCTGTAGATCTCCCATGGATATAACTATCATGTAGTTGCATATGACAAAGGGGCGTCGTTTTCTCCATTAATTACATATACAAGTCTGTGCACATGATATCATATATCCTGAACACCATTTCCTAAGGTTACATTTGTTTGCAGGATTGTCATCTGGGTGGCAAGGCAGAGGGTTATTGACTTATTGGCAGCAAACACCATCGAAGTGCAATATAACCATACTTCACAATCTGTGGTTCAAATAAGGTCTAACTGTCCAAGCATGCATGTCACTTTGCTGCCTTGCCATCGCACAACACCTCCTGGAGAATCTGCTGACAACGTCAGTGAAAGGCACTGCCCAAATTCAGTTCGAAAATGTGCATAATGCCATCAGCAGTGCTTATTCCTGATGTGTTGGTCATCGCTACCCACCCAGGCAATCCAGGAGTCAGAAAAGGGAAGAAAGTAGAACAGGCATCATCACGGGAATGAGCAGCATAGCCTCCTGACAGGCAAAAGCTAACACATGGATTGTTCTTCACTCTTGCACTGGTCCACACACCTTGTAATCATCGATCCACCTTGGGGCTTTTTGAATTCTTTTCACCTTCCTCCCTTCAAGATAGTCCACCTGGCTGATAGCAACAAAACACAGTCAAGAGACTCACCCATTGAAGGCAATACCTGGTGCCACTGTTTGCACAACAGTGAGCGTGATGGAGTGACGAGTAATGATCGCATGTGCAACAGGTGCAACCATGTGCTTCCCCCAACCCCTTGGGCGATGTCAGGGATGTTCAAATCCACAGATGTTTGTCCAAAAGGTGTTTTCGTTCTGGCTCACTGCTGAGAAGGACCAAGTACAGTTGGTTGCAAAGGGTCACAATATGCCATAAATAACGGCTTGTCAGGATCGCCATTGGTGGCTGTTGCATTTTAACATGCACAGAGAGGAAGTTTGTCAGGTTTCATCTTCCTTATCATATTGTGGGGGCACAACTTGCCTTTAGTTTTCTATCCCTGTTGGCTGCCTGTGAGTACTCTGTGCTAGCGGTTGTTGTGCAACACCCAAATAAGGTCTGGGAGCAGCATGGTCAAGGTTGAAATTGAAGGTCATCGAATGCAGCAAGAGCAAAGTTTCAGGACCTGCCAGGTACTGTCCAAGGAGCAGTGTGCTTTCCAATTGGATGGTCATGTGCACCTGGTATTGGCCCCGTGGAACAAACCATTCCAGCATTAGCCATTTGTTTGTTCATCTTGCTGCAATATGGTTTCAATGTATCACAAAACTTGTGTGACGTGTGTTGCACATAACTTACACAGTTGAAGCGGGAACTGCCTTGCCATAAGGCCATGGTGCTGCATGAAGCTAGCTTGATTGGCAACGAATACATCCCCTTGAGTTCGGTGCAGGTGCACTGAAGGTCACGACGACCAGATATTTGAGGGTGATCAGGATGCTTTGCGGCGTCACAATGTAATGCATGCAGCTCAGAATTGATCGCCACATGGAATTCAACGCCTCTAGGGTTTCAGGCCCATTAACCCACTCATTGCAAACATACCACTAGTTTACAACTTTGCCATCGCCTGCAGCTGCAAATTTCTGCAGCAATTCATACACATACTCGTGGCTGCCCAGTCCAACACTGGATTCCACCTCAACATACAGTCCACGGTAATTGGAACGTGGGCCATAATCCAATGGCCCATTAGCGAGAACCAGAACTGCTGACACACAGAGACCCCAAGCTTGCAGGTATGCACAGTGTTGATCTCATCTTGAAGCTTTGCCAATACAAGATTGTCAGATATTCGAGCAGATGCAAGCAACACCAAAATTGTGAGGAATGAGCATTTGTTGCCAGCAAAGTGGCAGACAAGTACAGATTGCGGCCACCAGTGCTCACATGGTCCTCAACGCTCATCACCATCAGCCGCACGTTGCCATCCGCAGATGCAGCCCTGCCAGGCACAGACAGACGATATTGGCAATGCCACGAACGCTCCAGAACTCCGCTCCACAATGCAGCAGGGAAAATGGCCAAATGGGCCAAGAAACCATCATTGGCCGGTTTTCCCCCAACGTGCCCATTCATCGCCAAATCCCCGCAATTGACACCATGTTTCGCGCCATTCCCCACATGCAGGCGTGGGTCCCCGACCCGAGCGCAAGGGAGGGGCATTTCAGTTCGCCGATCAGATAAATTTATACAATTTCACACCAGGGAGGGCCATGTCAGTTTGCCTGGCGCACAAATTTACACAAATTCACACCAGGGAGGGGCAGGTCAGTTCAGCCACCCAACAATTCATCCAATACCAAAAATCACGCCCGGGCGCCTTGCCTGTTCTCAACCACCGTGCCGGTCGACCACCGCAGGTTCCTCCGCGCCTCCTCCGCGCCCGCCAGGAGGTCCCCGCCAATCTGCGGCGCCGGGCCCCCGCCGCCGTCCAGCTCCGCCCGGCATGCCTGCCCCTCAGACCGTCGCCGGCCAGCAGGCCAGCATCCCGGCCGCGCGCCCTGCCGATCGACCCCCCTGGCGGCCGATTGGCATCCGTAGCCGCCGACCTCGCGGCAGTGCAGCCAGCTCGCGGAGCGCGCCCCCGCGGAGCGCTGCTGGCTGGACATGGCGGGGCCACCTGGGGCGCTGTCTGTGCTGTCAGCAGAGCCAGGACGGGGTTTAATGCGGTATAGTGGGGGGCCCTGGTTTAGCGACCCCTGTTTAGCGACCTGTCTAGGCTCAGCGACCCTCTGAACGGGTTGTCACCGTTCCCGTAGTACTTTAGTTCACTGCGACAGGCCCCAGCGCCCACGACTCTGCCCCTGCGACAAAGTCGCTGGCGCCAAAAACCAGTATGGGCCCGGTAGGCCGGGTGTAGCGTACCCGCTACACCGGCATATAGGGTACCCCTTACACTGGCGGCCAAGGTGCCCCTACACCGGCATTGCTGCCTGGGACACCTTGCGGGACTTAAACTACTGCTAAACTGCGTTAAGTACTGCTGAAGCGCTTGGAGTACTGGTGACCGAAGGGACCCGTCTAGTTTTAGCGACCCCTCAGCCGGCTTGTCACGGGGGGTCGCTAAACAGGAGCCCCCTCTGTACTGGCGAGGAGGTGCCGAACATTAGACCTCCGCACTCTCCCGCGCGACGGCCATACTGCCACAGATGAGTAAGGGATCGCAATGTTGCGATGCTGATGGAGGCTCGAGGGGTGGCGGCCCCTGGCTGGATTGGGAGGCTTGAGTAAACAGCGACGGTTTACAACGGAGCAAAAGGGACTACAGGAATTCTGCCCCTTATGTATCAGGTCCGTTTATCAGTGTCCTTAAGTCAGTTCCTATTGTCTCATCAGGTGATGAGTGGTGCCACTTTATGCGTCCAGCTATTAACATTGGTCAATCAATTCTGGCTACAACAAGTCTAATTTTCAGTTTCTTTTGTACTAAAGATGAAGCACTGAGCACAACAGACATTGAACGTGCCATAAAATGGCTGTTTGGCCTCTGGGTGGCACCGCAGTGGGTGTGCCAAGGTGTTGTTTGCATTAAATTGGACAAGGGACTGGGTGTGCGTTGAATATAGGGCAGCCATAAGTGCCTAATGTTCTCATGGTCGGCAGGTTAACCGCGGAACGGAAAACAAGGAATTTGTTTAATGAATTGTTGAATTAAATATGCTCCTGTTGTGCATATCTGCGAAGGCATGAGAACACTATCAAACATGTCCAAGGCGTCCAAATCAGAGCCAATGCCTGGATGTCGCTAAGTGTTGTACAAATATCATTGACTGTGCTCGGAAAATAGTCAGCATATCATACACTTCTGATGCGATGGATTCAGTGGACAGTTTGAAGTTCTCAAATTGGAGCTTGCCGGGAAGGCACCAGTTGGTCTGTTGCAACGAGCACCACTCAGTTTCGACATTTCTCATATATTCCGGCGCAATGCAAGACTGACAATCAACAGCAATCCTAGCTAAGGCGCAACCAGCACAAGTTGGCAACCTGCCACGTTGCAACATTGCTGCGTAGTGCAGTCTGATGGGCATCAATAATTATTGACTTATCAGTCGCCAGGTATGATAGCACTTTTACCTGGACTTGATGTCCCACGGCCTTGAGGTACCTAAACTTGTGTAAGGCTCCCGATGAAGTGTGATGTTTGGACAGCAATGTGTCTCTGATACCTTGAGTCATGCCGTACTCAAGGGAATGACAAAGACGACCTGTCAACTAGATCTGACGTATTGCAACTTTGGAATCCGTCTCATTTAAGTCAGCGAGTGCAGTAAGCAAAGCAGGGCAAGGCGATCGCCCCAACATGGCTGCGCTGAGAGACACGTGGGCTTACTAAGATGATACGACAGCTGCATGCCACTAGTTTGCGGGGTGTCACTCAAAAGTATGCTTGGATTTACGTTTACGTTTACGTTTTTACGTTTATGTGCTTATGCGCAAAATTTAAATTTGTGAAAGGTTTTTTTTACGGCTATTTTTATGTTTTGACGGCTGGTTGGAACAGCCAGGTTACACGATGAAATTTGCAAACAATGATCAGTTCTCCACCATCTCCAGCACCAGCAACACAGTGCCCACCTCGCCCTCGGCAAGGGCAAAATTTCGTTTTCTACCCATTCCAGCGCGTCTGATTGCCACTCACCGGACTCCCCAAGTTTGTATGTACTTTGCTTATATACACGGAGTTGTATTTAGGTTGTATTTACGCGTTTTTGCTCGTAAATACGTTCAGTTTTTACGGTGCAAAAACCAAGCCTGCTCAAAAACTTACTGTGAAAGCAACGTTGGCCCAAATCCTGCATCTGGACAACGTGTCCAGCAGAATCTTGGGCAAGCAACATCAGTGTCAACAGTGTCCGGCTGAGCTCAGAGAAAGGGAAACATAATACTACAATCGATTGTTGTGAATCCTGTGCGTCGCAGGCGACCACTCAAATGCCCACTCTTGGCCTTTGACGTGCATTACCATGGCACAGCCTGATGGGCCCACCCCCCTGCGTCACGATGATCCGCAGTGTGGGGCTTGTGGTGTGTAAGTGTGACAGTGCATTTCTTGATTCTCTCATTCTGGCCAAGGCGTGCACAGGAGGCAAGACCGGGGCGGCATCAGTGGCGACCACCATCGACGGCCAGCGGCCACCCCGCCCGCTGCGTTGTTCCGCTGTTGCCCAACGCTCAAGCGTGCCGTGCGCTTCGGCTCCTCTTCGCTTCAGCGGCAGACGACGTGACCATCCGCAACCCGACGGCCCGTTTCGCTTGATCGACCCAGCAGCGCACATTGGTTTCGCTCAAGCCACACTGGTTACCTGCTCCCTTGTCGTCGCTGTGCTGCAATACACACGTGTACCCCATCAGCCCCGCGCGCGACGCCTTTCATGTCGCGGCCAGGCTGCAGTACCTTTGCCGATCACTCGATGTTGCCTGCACGGCTCCGCGCTGCTGCCCGATGCCAGTTCCGGTCAGAAGAAGCACACAGGCAGTTCATGGAGCCGCACGGCAAAGACGCCCTGTCCAGTTTGATCCCCCCGCAGGGCGCTGTACATCGCTGCCTTCCCTCCGCCCCTTTCCGCGGACCCTCGGCGGCGCAGGCCAACGCGATCCTCCACGGATTTCCAGAACACTGAGCGCAAGGCTCGGCGTGTCCTCGCGCCCGTACACTCTCCAACCCCCCTGGGAAAGAAAGGGACAATGTGGCAGCCTCATTAGCCTGCTTGGCTCCCCTCCGTCGGCGCAGCGCCGCCAGAGCCGCTCCGACAACTGCGCTTCTGCGCCAGGGGAGACCGTCAAACAGCCACGCCTCCGTTTGGGCAAAACGCAGGCGTTCCCAGCCGAAGGATTTGCGCTCAGAGGTCGCGGATCCGGCACGGCGCGGGACTGCCACAATGGCGAGTATGGGGTGGGGCTGCCTGGCGCCGCTGGAGGGGGATTGTTGCTTGAGGCTCCGGACGGGGTGGTGGGGCAGCGCCACAGTGCGCCCGCCCACGCCCTCCCCGCGGCTGCCTACAGCGCCCCAGGTGACAGCCTCTCACACAATTCCAATGTACCTCCCGTCACCCCACGAGGAGCGCGCCCTACAGCCGCAGTTTCCGCCCACGGGCCGGTTATGCGCCCCGCCCCCGCCCCACTCACAAAGTACTAATGCCCGTTTGGGCGCGTGCTCGCGGCATGAATTACAGGGCGCTTTCCCGACCACCTGAGGGGCACCGCGCCGGCAGGGCAGGGCGGGGGGCATCGCCTCGGCGCCCAACCAACTGGCTTGGGCGCCCCTCTCTGCGGCCTTGGTGGCCACAGCCGCAGGGATTTGTCACCTTTCGGATCGTTGTGGAGGAGCTGCGGGCTGCAGCCTTGCGCCAGGGGGCGACTTGACGGCAATCTGAGGGCCCTCGGTGAGCCGCGACGGGAGCTGCCTGGGATTGATGCGCGATCTTTTGGCCCCGTTCTTTGCGCGTGCGCCGGAGGCGGCTCCGGGGCCATTCATCGGCGGCGCAAGGTCATCTCCAGTTTTGGTGTGGAGTGCCCGGGCCGGTTTGTGTGACGGTGGGCGGGCGAGCCGCCCTTCCGACGACGGGTTTGCATCGCTTGACCGCGGGGGCGAGTGTTCTCGGCTCCGAGCCGCATGGCAGGGGGAACAGAGTCGATGTTTTTGCCTGCGGAGTCCTCGTGATTTGTGATTTGTCACTTTTTGGAGGTACGAATCCTGGGGAGGGGAGTGACGAGGATCCCTTAGCAGCCATCCAAGCGAGCTGCTGTTTCGGGCTGTGTCCATGCTGTGCTTGGAGAAGGAAATTTTTGTCTGAAAATATTCCTTAAATCTGCATTGCTGGCATGGGCCAGAATGCTGATTGGGCCAATCGCTGCCCGTTCACCTGTCAGGTGATGTCAGCAGCGAAACTCTTACATGCGTTGAACTGTCACAAGCTTGGTATCAAAGTGGCTTTAGGCACTCTGAAAACCGTATGATTCGTGTGATTGAACCAGCATCAATTCATGTGAGCGTGTGTGTTGTTGAGTCCAGTGTAATCCTCAACACAACCAAGCTCCTTGCAGCCCGACACTCCAGTCAGTAGGTTGTCCATGGGAAAGCCCCTAGAGTTGTGACCACACTCACCGCCCTTGATATACGTGGGATGTTTTGTGGCGTTTATGAACATTGGCAGGAAACGATGGCCACGGATTTGGGGTGCAAAGACCGATTTTCCGGCAACTGAATGGCTCCAAGCTTTGAGCAACATGCTTGCAGCGCGACTGTGCGTGCTGTACTTGCTGTGCGACTGTTCATGTATGCTGTGCCCTGGCACTCAAAGAGTGCCTCAGCTGGCGATGGCCTGCCTACCACAATTGGGATTGGTATCGTCATTTGCCCTTTCCACCAAAGATCGCTGTGAAAGCCATAGAATACGACAATTGACGGATCCAAAGTTGAAGAATAGAAAATTCGCAGGAACACCGGTTCTGGATTCAGTGTGGCACATGACGGAAAAAGAAAGAGAATTTTCTTAATTTCAACAAAAATAACTCCCTTGTGTCCTAGCTTGTCTAACTATGACAAGTCCCTTGGGGCTTCAGGTCGTTTGAAAACCCCACGACCTGAGCAGCGCGTCCTGCCCGACGTTGCAAAGATTCTCCCACCGGTGAGGGTCGTTTTGCCGCATGCTTTAGCGAAGTACTCCAAGTCCCCTTCACCAAGCCCTGTTCTTTGGAAACCCGTCGTCCGTCTGCCGTTTCTCCTGCGTTCCCTCTGGCTGCCACTGGCGTTGTTTTGACAAACCCTCGGCAAACTCGGCAGCCGCCTGCCAGCATCCCTTGCGTCACGCAAACCGGCGATGACGCGGCCGTCGTCATCGCCGTCTTCCCCCCAGCGCCCCACCACGGCACCCCCTCCTTGCGGCCACCGCCCTTGTCAAATGCCGAAGGCCAGAACACGCAATCCGTAACGCAGTGGATGCCGTCGGCTCCAAGCCCGCGCCCAGGAGGCAGCACACACGTTCTTTGCCGCAGGTTTTGAAGAGAATATATTACTCCCCGTTCTTGTTTGCTGAATTTCGGTTCTTGTTCCGCTGACAAGGCCAGTCCCGGTGCGTGGATCAGTAGTTGGGGTTTAGGGTGTCCGAAAACAAGAACCGAAATTCAGCAAACAAGAACGGGGAGTAATTTTACGCCGGTTTTGAACAGCCCACATTGTACGATCATGTTGAGCTGGCCCTTCCGGCCTGACCCCTCCGAAATGTGAACAATTCGGGAGAGCGTGCGAATGAGCATGTGACTCGTCAGCGAACTTCTCAGCGAACGGAGCCCGGAAGGCGGCACGCCTCCTGCCCCACGCGTCAGCGGCTTCGCCCCTTCCCTCAAAAAGCCGATCCCTTTCCTCTCCGCCCCTCCAGCCGCGCCTCCCCTCCAAGGGGCGCTCCCCACGGGCCGCACACGCGCCCCCCCCCCGCCCCCCCCTTCCCCTTTGTCTCCTCCCTCCTCACCGTACATCCCCATCTTGGCTGCCGCAGGGCCCTCAGGGCGTTGATCGCATGCCGCATCGCGGCATGGGGTGGCCGGTCGTGGCCATGGCCTGCTGGGCGATCCTGGCGCGGGTGGCCGCCGGGCAGGACGCCACCCAGGCGAGCGCGGCCAGCGGCCGGGAGCTGAGAGCAGCGCTCGAGGATCCAAACGTGTTGACGATCCAATTGACGGGCGACGTGGCCTTGAGCGCGCACAGCGGCTGGACGAGGGACGCCCCGCTAGTGCTGGACCGATCGGTGGCGCTGGAGGCGGCCGGGGAGGGCGGCATGAAGATTTTCGTGCAGGATTTGTGGATACCCGGGATGGGGCTGGACTTTCTGAGGGCGGACGTCCCGGTTGAGATCGGGCTGAAGAAGTGAGTGCTCGCGTTGCGGTCTCGTGGTCGCGTGCCATGGCGCAATCTCTGACCACGCGGGCGGCGAGGTGGCAAAATGAACGATGTGCGGGACGGACATGTCTGTCCCGCAGGACGTCAACGGGTGTGAAACCATCCAGGAACATTTGTACAAATGTTCCTGCACGGTTTCACGCCCGTCATCGCTCGTGTTCAAGGGCACCGCTTGGTCTCGAAGGCAGTTTTAAACAAGGGAAGTAGGCCAGACGCTCAAATGTACGTCAGGGCGCGGTGTTGGGCGTTCCTTTGGGCCCGAGGGGGACGGCGGGCGCGTATGGGCTCGTTCATGTACTGAACGGACGGGTCCTCAGGTTCCGAGGGAGCAATGTGGGCAGTCGAGTCAAGCGCCGTACGTTGGATCGTCAACATGGGAATCAGTCAAGACGGGTTGCGGACCGAGGCGTTTGAGTTGTGGGCTCCCTGGGTGCCGTCAATGGCCACCTTGTCACCAACGGCCCCCCATTGTCAGCCGGGGCTGGCGCCTGTAGGTTTAGATTTGTGGGTGTGTTGCCGCGGGCGTTCCTCTTCTCCAAGTTGCCTCACCACCAGTGAATACGCAAGGTGCCAGTGATCCTGACAGGAGAATGGCTGGGCTGTTGCCACCATGCAAGCCAGCAGAAATTAGCATGCGGTACTGGTATTGATTGTTCGTCATTTCTGTATCCAAAATTGAATGGCCAATTCAAGAGCGCCATGATTGGTTACGTGATGCACAACTGGTGATCAGAGAAATGCTGCACTCCAGGGTGCCTCTCAAGTCATACGCAGGCACCAATTTGTTCCACACGGTAATGATCAGAAGTTCTTCTTTAAGTTATCAGCTCACTCCTTGCGTGTTTGAGAATGGAGAAGAGAGTGGTGTGGCTCTGTGCCTTGGTAGCTGTTTCCACAATATTTGCACATTCATCACCACTGTACGGCCAGCGTTGGCTCCTTGAAGCCAAAAAAACGGATGTGAGAAGACAGGGGTGCCTATTTTGATGTGATAAGGAAGAGGTACACGGCTGTTGTAGAGCCATGGGCCAGTGTAGAGAGGACAAGAATGTGTGCATGTGTGCATTTAATTGTTGGCATGCACTGAAGCACACTCAGGACCAGGATCAACAAAGCCATATCATGCAGGGAAACATGTGCGCATGTGTATGTGTGTTTGTGTAGGGTTGCTATTCAGACTTGAAGGAGCCTTGTCATGGAACTGCTCTGTTTCCAGCAGGTGGCAGTAAATGTCCAAATTGTCGACAGCCTGAAACCAACGGACTGGGCACAAGTAACCAAACATGCCCCTGCAACACTGCAAGCAGTTCCGTGTAAGCCAAAAGGCTGGGCAGGCGAAGGGTAGATCCCAACGTTAACTATGCACCATGCATCCCACCCTGCAGCAATGGAAACCAGCTCAAGAATACATAGAATGTATGCTTGTGGGCAAAGTGAAAATGATGTGCTTGTCATCCATGTACCCACGCTTATTTCAGAGGAGCAGAGAAGATGCGAGCTAGGTTTCTACGAGAGCATCACAGCTCTTGCCAAAGTTGCAAAAGTGTGTCTCTAGTGATCCAGCATTTGGTACACTTGAGATGTTTAAAAATGGGTGGCTGGGTGGGATGTTCATAGTTGCAGCTGAAAGTATCCAGATTTTATTCTTATTGCTCTGGATTTTTTAACCAGGCAGTGGGCTTAAAGATTATGGTTTTGAACCCACTTCAAGTACACATTTAGTACGGCATTCTTTGTTGGTGATCATATGGGTGATGTGGGCAAAGACATCTGCACACTGCTTTTGCTGGAAGGCACAGAGTTCACAGCAGTTTCATTTGGAAGATGGCCGATTATGCTTACTGAACCTTTTTAGACGACGTCCTGACTCCTGTGCGGCAGTAGGGACGTCCTCCTGTCCTCTCTGTTGTTAATATCTTATCATGTTTTCTGGCCTGCAGCATTCACATCGTTGGGGTGCCCCTTGCTGGAACGGCCCCTGCTGGTCTCTGGAATGTCACTTTCATTCTTGAGGACTGCTTACTGGAGCTATGGAGCGACAGCTCTGTCCCAAACCAACTGGCATTGCTCGAAGAGAGGCAAAGACCGGACGGCTTCCCTGCAGCGGATGGCGCGCAAGTCACAGAACCCCTGACATCTGGGCTCTGCCAGCGGACGTTCGACATGTTTGACTGCCCGGATACATTCGATTTCATGCTCCTGGTCGATGTGGCATTTGACTGGACCGAAACTGGGACAGAGCCTCCCACAGGGCAGGAGGACCTTGCACCTGGCGTGTTCAGCGCTGTGAATACACCTGCTGCTGTGTCAGTTGTTGAAATCGTGACCGGCAGTGACACTGCGAGTCTAGTTGAGGTGGGTGGCCCCAACTAGACCCGAACTGACGTTTTCCTCATGGATGCAATTTGTCACGGCAAAGGATTGCTCTTGCACTTGTTGGGCAGCGTCCAGCGATATCTCCGATCGGAAATGTTGATTGGCAACACTCCAACTTTTGCCCCCGTTCACCACTGAGATCCCAAATGCTATTTCACTTGGCTCCTCCTTTTCGCACTTGGGCTGACCCATCCACAGCTCGAGACAGTAAATTCCATGTAAAGTAATTTTCAGAAAGACCATGACAAACAGTGCCCTTAAACTTTGCTGGCGATGATGGAAGCAGAAATATCCCATCAATGTCGTGCTGGTCAACGCTCAAAACATCATCTTTGCCGACACCACCCAGTTCCCTTTCAGACAGTGGGTTGTGACAACCCTGGCTTGCTGCCATTCAGTATTTCAGTGGAAATTTCAATTGTCTCCCATTGACCGCTGCTCAGAGGATTGCAGACCACGTGGTATGCAGCCTTGTGCAGACACAAAGAGTTCCAAATTGTTTCATGTTGGGTATCCCATCAGGCACATATCCTGAAAATTCAATTCTCAACATGCTCATCAAGCCACTTCTCTTTATTGCCCCTGTAGTTACCTTGAAATGCTAGACAGTGCAGCTCTTTTGTAGTTTCCCCTTTCCTGACTGAACTGTCCGGGAGTATGGTGATTTCTAATGCATGGTCAATCGTGAATTCGATCATCAAATTAAAATTGAAAATCAAAATAAAAAATAAAACTAAAACTGAATTCATGATGAATTCATCATGAATTCTGCATGAATTTAGTCTTGTTGGATTGGCGACCGTTTCCTTCCATTTCCGTAATTGACAAGGCTTCTGCATGCAGGCCTTGCGGACTGCGGGGCCAGCTCGCCTCAGAGTTGTTGTTATAAATGATGCGCTGCAAATATCAGAGGATGACATCGACTGTTCTGGCAACGTCATTGTCCCCCAAGCCGATATTGTGTTCTTTGGGGCTGCGGCAACTGTGCCACCAGTGGACCTTTTGGACTTCAATTTTGCCTCAAGCTGCATTGTGCTTCAGGAAGGGGTGACTGCCACCCTTGTCAACCTGCTTCTCAACAATACACGATCAAGGTAAAGCATTGGCTCTCATTTTTTCCCTTTGTTGTGCGCCCTCAGGTCCATTGTATTGTATTCAGTTGCTCTGTAGTCACGTTGCCCACCACTCTTTGGATAAAATGGAGATGGCGATTTGGGTTGCTGGGAGCAAGTTTGCATGCACTGTTGATGGCTTAGCAGCTGTGTGCATCAGCTACCAGCCAATTTAACACAAGACCATGGTGGGAAGTGGGAGTTTCTTGGCAAGCAAAAAGGACGTGCGATACACATGATGGGCAGCTCCTCCTGACTTTGATTTGTCAGATACAGCGATGGGCCTTGCAGTGAGAAACTTTGAGCTGTCCATCCCATCTGAGCTGTGTGCACCAGTTGTCAGCTTTTGTAGCAAACCTGCGATATAGCTTCGACGTTGTGAACAACATGCAACACACAAGTTTGTAGTATACTGTACCAGTGTGATTGTTTGCTGGGCTGACTGGCACCTGTGCTGTCTGTTCAAAAGGGAGGAACCTCGCTTGCAACCCCTTGTGCCGTTCTTCGATGCGCAGCGCGATTCGCGAGTTGAGCTGCAGAATGTGGTTTGGAATGTGCTGTCCGACGGTGGCTCCCCGCTCACAGCCCTGGACATTCTGGAAGATCTTCAGGGTCACCCAGTTCCTGAGGGCGAGTCAGATGAGCGCCTCATGGAGATCAAGAACGAGGGCTACTGCAGCAAGGAGTTCATAGGGAACAGCAGCAGTTGTGCTGAGTCAACACAATGCTCCAATGTGGGTATTGACCAGAAATCATGTTCCTTGCAAGCACGCACAGGGGAGCTTAATGTCAAGTTTGTGTCAATTTTTTCTGAGTTTACCCCAAAGCAAAACTCCCAAGTGTTCTGTTGTCTTTGTTCTATGAATGCCAAAACTGGCCTTTTTGAGATAACATGATTGTGTCACACATTGGGCATCCCATTTGTATGCAAGTGTACAGTGAGGCCCTTGTCCATACTTTTTGATGATGATTCAGCAGTTGCTGAGTGTAGCAGGAGTAGCACACAGCGCATGCCAAGAGCAGCAGCAATATACGCATCCAGGGGGGAAAAAGTGAGGGTGTCTGGAGGAAACTCAGTGTAGTGCCTTCATACCAAGCAGTGCTTTGCGGCAGCAATTAACTGTTGTTCTCAAATATCCTGCAGTTTCAGGAATGAACACTGTGCAGCTTTTCTCCTTCATGGCATTGTTGGTACCATCACTTCCAGCATCCTGTGGGTCATCACCGCAAAAGCCTTTCCGGCATGGGGCAGTACCAGAGGCTTTGCTGCTGTTGTGTGCTGGCATCAGCAGCGGATAATCTTGAGTCAAACTTGGGATGTATTTTTTCACTCGACTGGGTTTTCGTGCTGTGGACAGCCTTTGCAAGCCTCCTGGCACAACCTCACTGTTTCTTGTTTGTTGGGTGCCTGGATTCTATAAATTGATGTAGCTGTTGTAACATAACGCCCTCTTCTGTGTTGTGGCACTTGTGCTATTCTATGGGCATTGGCACGCTGGCTATAGCTGGGTTTTTGTTTGTGCTGCAGCTGAGTGCTTGCCCTGATGGGGCTGTGGCAGTGGACAGTGTAGCTTATCGCTTTGAGGGGACGGACTACAAAATCGTGAGCAGTTTGCTGATCACAAGAACGGTATGCTGTAATTTCACAGACAATCCGCTCATATTAGGTTCACCACAATAGGAGTTCGCAGCTCCCCCCGATGAGATCCTAACGTGTGTGGGTGATTTCTGCAGTTGCGATTTGAAGTGTTCTAATCTATCAGGTTTAAATCAAGGACTAAAGTCACAAAGGGATACCAGCATGTGATGATCCTTGTATAGCAGGAAAGTGTGCTTTGCATCTGACAATGCCTAGATTGCATTTTGTGTTCTATCAGTTGAGAATGGGGAAGTGGGAAAGAGTATCCAAAGTCAAACGTATGTGGTGTGCTAAGGCAGTCTGCACAAGGGAATGTTCTTGACTCTTTTGTGCACTGGCTGTGGTCCAGATGCCATTGAACAGGCTTGTTCAGTGCTGTTTCGGTCTTTTCTGTTGGAATCGGTTTGCAAGAGAAGGAGAGCGCACCAGTACCCACTGAAATGCCTGAGCCGGATACGTAGTATATTAAACCTTTCTGCACAGTAATGCTTGGCCTCTTTTTGTGGAGAAAAAGTAGTAAATAGTAATGTAGCACTTGGCCTTTTTATGAGGAGCAACGTAAATAAAGTAAAAGTAACGCCCTGAAAAACAATATGCTGAGCAAAAAGCATAATGGTAAAATTATCTGATGCGCAAGGGTTGAATATTTTGCTGTAATGTATTCTGAACAATTGCACGATTTCATCGGGAATGTGCACCGTGGGGTCTGTGGCCTCACATGACTGGTCTGCTGTAGTGGTGTAATCGAAGGCAACGGCCAATTTTGTTGCCTGGCCTTCTGCTGTTGGGTGATTTTGGACAACGAATCCCTGTGCCCCTGCTTCAGGTTGGCAACGACACTGTCCAAGCGGACACCCCTGCCCCAACCCCTGCCATTGCTCCCGCCCCCAGCCCAGCCAGTGAAACTGGAAATGCCACCACTCCCGCTGCAGCTCCAGCTCCTGCCAGTGCAACTGGAGATGTCCAGGCTTCCAGCGCTTCACCCGCTACTACCAATGGGACCAGTCCCAATGTGACTACCCCTGTCGATGGGCCTGGAGCTGCACCAGGTCCAGCACCTGGGGCTCCTGCACCTACTAATGTGACTACCCCTGTCGATGGGACAGGAGCTGCACCAGGTCCAGAACCTGGGGCTCCTGCACCTACTAATGTGACTACCCCTGTCGATGGGACTGGAGCTGCACCAGGTCCAGAACCTGGGGCTCCTGCACCTACTAATGTGACTACCCCTGTCGATGGGACTGGAGCCGCACTTGGTCCAGGTGCTGCCCCCTCGCCTACTAATGTGACTACTCCTGCCGATGAGCCTGGAGCCGCACCAAGTTCGGAACCTGCTGCCAGACCTGCTAATGGGACTATCCCTGTCAATGGGAGTGGAGCCACAGGAGGTCCAGAGGCTGCCCCCTCGCTGACCAATGGGACTACACCCATCGATGAGCCAGTAGCTGCACCAAGTCCAGAATCTGCACGCTCACCTACTACTGGGACTGCCCCTGGTGATAGGACTGGGGCCGCAGCAAGTCCAGGACCTGCCCCCATGTCTGCTAACGGAACTACGCAAGATCCAAATGCTGCAGCTGCCCCTGCCAACGAGATTGAGGGGATTACAGAGCCGCCTGTTGTGTCTGCCTCTACCAATGGGACTGGCCCTGTCAATGGGACTGGAGGCATGCAAGATACAGATGGTATGTCTGGTACTGCCAATGAGACTGCCCCTGCCATTCCTGCCAATTTGAGTGCCCCTGCCGCTCCTGCCGATGGGACTGAAGAGATCGAAGATCAGGATTCTGCTTCCGCCCCTGCCAATGGGACTGGCCCTGCCAATGAAATCGGAACTGTCCCAGATCCTGATGCTGCTCTCGCGCCGACCAACGAGACTGTGAGCTCCCCATCCAACGACACTGATGTCGAACCTAGTCCCGGTACTGGCCCCATGCCTGCCAACGGCACTGATGGAAATGCCACCGCGGTGGCACCTGGCCCGGCGGTGGCCGCTGGTCCCGATGTTGGCAGCTCTCAAATAAATGGCGCATCCTCTTCTCAGCCAGGATCGGATGGGATTGCAGCCAGCGACAACGGCAGCGAGGCCTTGAACGCCACCCAGGGGAACTCCAATCGGACAGTCACCAACAGACCCACCGCAAGTGTCGATCCCGGCGTGGTGGGGGGGACTGGAAACGGGGAGATGGGTGACTCTGGCGGGGGCTCGGGCGGGGCCCCGAGCGGGGCCCTGATCGGCGGAGTGGCGGCTGTCGTGGCTGTGCTCGCCTGCGTGGTGCTGATTGTGTACAGCGTGAGGCGGCACAGGCGCGGCAGAGGGGGGGAGAAACTGATTGATCCGCAGGGGTACAGAGTGCCGGAGGCGCAGCACACAGTGATGGTCCGGAGGAACACCCCTCCGCAGCCCACCTTCACCAAGTTTGTTGCTGTGGATGATGACCAAAACAAGTTGGTGATCAATATGGACACTGGAGAGGAGGGAGCCTTTGAGGATGAAGGGATGAGCAGGTAAGGAACCTGTGGCTGTACCTTTTTCTTATTGCCTTGCACAACACGTACCGTAAGCAGGTCTATTTTTCCACATGATTGGGTGATCCATGAGAATTGTTGATTCAATGATGTTCCTGTCATGGTTTGACTACGTGTCGTTTGTGGCTGCTGATGTCTTTCAGCTTGAACCTGATCAGCAACTGTTTTGGTGCTCTTGTGCAGCAGCTCAGATGAAAGTCCAGAAGATGCGCTTTCGCATCAGGAAGCTGCAAGTAAGCTGTTTGACAACATCGTGATGGGCGAACTGCTGGGGCAAGGAGCCTATGGCAGGGTGTACAAAGGTAACAAAATCCATGGTGGATGCCCAACTGAAAATGACCGCTGTGGTCATCAAACGGGCATGCTGAAAATCTTTTGAAGAAACTTGCTCAAAAGCAACAGAATGAGGACATGCATCTTGCAGGTCGTGACAGCCACAATTTCGCACACAGGAGTTTTGCTCCCATGTGAATGTGCATGAAGCCCCATGTGCATTGGGCATGTTGTAGGGCATTGAGTTGTGGTTCTGCAGCACCTGTGTTGAATTGTTTATCAGCACAAAAGTAAGAAGAGGTTTCCAGCAGACAGTGTCTCTGTGCAGCCACGATGAGCGATTTGGTGTGTCAAAGACATTTCAACCAGAGAAGTCTGTCTGTGTTATCAATACAGTATGTGCTACTGTTGGTGACCACAGAACACAGCGGAACGGCTAGTTTTCCTTGCTGCAGATTCACTTATGTCCATTGAACTCGTGATCTCTCAGCATTGTCCAAGTTGATTCCGATTTGGGTTGCATTTGATGCTCTCATTCATCCTTCTGCTGCTGTTGTCTGCTGAGGCTACCTCTGTTGCAATAAAGGCACATGGAATGGCGCGGTAGTTGCTGTGAAGGTGTTCACGCACACAGTTGAGGATGACAGGCTGGAAGCCTCCATAGAGCGCGAGATCCACTTTATGACTGAGCTCAGGCACCCCAATGTCGTGCAGCAATACAAGGCAGGAACCCGGCACGTGACTCCCAAGTCACCTGCAAAGGTGGGCAGATCAGCCAGTCAGGATTCCGATTTCGTGGAGCCTGCATAGCAAAGGCTGTTGCACCAGTATGTGGAACACAGCAAGTGCAGCTTGCCTCACGCGCGCCCTGGCACAGTGTTTGTCTTCATGTGCCCCCAAAATAAGGGTCCCAAAAAAATTGTGCGAAAATTTGGATACACAAGGGTGCCACCAGTGGAATGGAAGGCACCCATTGTTGCTAGTGTGTTTGCAGCCAATGGAAAAGAGGCAAGGCAATCATATCCAGTCACATGCCCTTAGTATTCATTTGAGAATAGTGGTCCTTTTCAGTACAACATTGACACTCATGGATGTGCAACTGCTGCACCCTCTGGAGCCTGGATACACATTGTTTGTGTCCTTTATTTGCGGCACATAGCTCGGTATTGAATTACCTCAGAGCTCCCTGCTCCATTTGTTCAAAACTGCAGCTTGTATTTGGGGGCAGAACGGCTAAACCCAGGCTCTCCATTTAGCAGTACAATGTTGACAGAGCTGTCGAATTCAAATCAGAGGCCCATCTGCCAATCCAAGTCCCCAATCTGGCAGCTCTGCAGTGTGCTTTGGATGCAGGGTGCCTGTTGTTGCTCCTTCTGAGTTGGTGGCAACAGGGCATTGTGTTGTGTCAGTTCATTTCAACGCATTGACAATATTCTGACTAAGCACTGCTCTTGCAGGTGAATGGTTGTGAACGTTGATTGGAATGAGAGAAACAGAGCCTCCTGCATTCTGACAGTTTTGTTGCGTTGATGACTGCCCAGTGTGAATATTGTGGTGCCGCCTGGGGCAACACAGAGGCATGCCTGGTATGTCAAGTTTGGTCAGACAGTCTTTGAAATCGGGCGGTGTGACGATTGAATCAACTGCACTGCATGCCTTGCAGCAGTCATCAAGTGAGGTCGACACACAGACTGGCTCCTCCTCTGGTGGTGTTCACTCAGCAACGTATGAGACAGCCATGCAGGCGATCAAGCATTCTCGCAAGGCCACTAAGGAGACCTGGATGGTGATGGAGTACTGTGACTTGGGTATCCTGAGCAATGCTATCAAGGCAGGATGGTTTTACAGAGATGACGGCAGGAGAGAGCTGAACATGGTAGGAACTGCAGCCTGCTTATGCAGCAGTGTCCTGTGCGGAGGCATCAACTTGCTGCTGGCAATGTGTTTCAGTGTTGCTGGGCATGACACTAGTTTTGGTGGCAACTGTTGCAGTTGCAGAAGCAATGTTATGAGCAGCAATTGGTGCTGAGTCTTGACTGTAAATGCAAAAGACTGCAGAATCAAATGTACTTCCACTCTATCAGCTAGTTGTTGTTAGTGTTCGTTTGATGTCCAGGTGAAAGATTCCATGTGTCCTCGGCCCACTGCATCCAGTGACCGTCTGCTGTCCCATGGTGGAGGTCGGGATGCCAGCCTTGCTTTACAGTTCTGCAGGCACCAATGCTGCTGCCTTTCCCTTGTCCGACGCCGCACTCTCAGCGTTCTTGTTTTGCATCGCGAATTTCATTTTTTCCTTGTGGGTCGTTGAGTGGGGAACTTGAATATCGATGTGGAGACTCCCTCAGACAAGGTTGATATGCAGGTGGATAGATTGATGGGCTGAGGAGTGTCACCCAGGAAACCTAGCATGGTTTGTCGACGCCCGGTCGATGACGCATGATGAACGATGAACGAGAAGCCACTGGAATGCCCCCCCCCCCCTTTCATAATAAAAAAGAGGAAAAAAACAAACAATGAACCAGGCTGATTTTGGATTGAATATCCAGACTTTTCGTTGGGTTGAGCACCTTGTTGCATTATGCTTGCAGGAATGTGTTGTTAGAACTGCTCAGGACATCGCAAGGGGCTGCGAATACCTCCATGAAAACAGGACAGTTCATGGCGACCTGAAGCCGCATAACATATTGTTGGCGACGTCCGCCTTTGACAACCGGAGATGGTGTGCAAAGCTTGCTGATTTTGGTAGGTCCTGAACATGCAGCTCGATACCCAAGGTTGATGTAGGCACGTTCATTCACAGACATATTGTTGCATGGCCTCGAGATGTTGCTGGAGGTGTCATAGGTGGACCCTATTGAATGGTGTGGGGCATTTCTGAGCGGTTGCTGTGCAGCACAGTAGTATCACTGCAGCCTCTGATGGATGGGGTTGTTACCCAATGGTTTGCCAGCCTGGCTTGCTTACTGCTGTGCAATCCACAAAGAGTGTGCACTGTAATTGAGGCTCCTGCGCATGCAATTGGAATGTGGACACACACAGAGCAAGCAGTGCACACGGATTAGCTTAGTTGTGCAGAAAAGCAATCCTCCCCATGCAGTTCCTGTACATCTTGCACAGTCTGAAAATGGTATGGGGCCGTCAAATGTAATACAAAACCATGTCAAACCAAAGGCATCCTTGTACTGAGCACACTCCTTTTTTTGAGACACTTTTGCCCTATTAGAATAATGCAGAATTGTCCATGCTGAACAGCAACATAAACTACAGTGAATGCCACGAATGGGTGGAAAGTGCGCAGTCAGGTGACTATATCAGGATCTGAAAGTAGCCCTTTTGCATGTGGAACACTGCTGGCTTTTACCTTGTCGTAGTTTGAAATTCGGATGGCGCTGATTGTCTTTGCAGGTGTGAGCAGAAGAATGGGCGCTGTGAGCCACATATACACAAGCACTGTGGGCACCATGGCCTACCTATCACCAGAAATTTTGAGGGATGGGAAGTTGTCTGAAGGGGCCGATGTATATGCTTATGGCATGATAAGTGAGTGGTCTGTGAATCGATTTGTACCTTGCAGCGACGTACCAGTCCACTATTGCCATCATTGTCAGGGTGGTGCAAAGCGGGCTACTTCAATACCCACTACACTGGGATCTGCTTGGCACTTGGCAGCTCTTTCTTCGGCAATTATGACGCAAAGATGTACATTGCCATGTCTGAAAGGTTGCCTTGATGACCTCGTCTGATCTGCCTTTCTGCTTTCGAGGCTTGTGCTGATGGGAAACGATGTGCGAGTGTTGGCCCATGCCCTGAATGCGCCTCGTGCCGCCCCGGCAGCTCTGCAATGCAAAGCCACGCTGACCTACCCCAACTCACACTTGTGTGTCTCCATCTGTCGCAGTGTGGCAGCTCGTGTGCGGAGAGTCCGTGTTCAAGCAAAAGTCTGCGGCCGATGTGTGGCGGCTGATTGCAGTCGAGAAGTGGCGGCCGACCTTCCCTCGATCCATCAACGCCAGGTACCAGCACTTGGCGAGGCGCTGCTGGGCGGAGGAGGTGCAGGACAGGCCGTCGTTCCAGCAGGTTCAACGAGAATTGGGGACGATTCTGCAGTCCCTGTGAAGCGAGGGGGCCGCCTCGCGGCTTCCCGCTCAACGTTTGTGATCACGCCTGTCCAATATCTGACTGAAGCTGACGCAACATTGCCCCTGCGCCCTCCAGGACGATGTCGCTGCGCGGCGTTGTGCAGAAGGCGCATGGCGTATGTGATAGAATGATCAGTCATGCACCGTACCTGGGGAGGGCTTGGGCCGGTGTGCACCGGAGTGATGGAGTTTTTGGCACGCTTGCGGGAAGCCTCGCGACTGCTGCCTGTCCACGCTCCCGAAACGATGTCTTTTTGCAGGTGGGGGCGGGCATTTATTCGGCGGGTCTATTGCCAGCAGGCGGAATAAAAAATCGTCAATTTTCCTCCCCCTCTTGCTGTGATTCACGCGCCCCAACGGACTGCGTGAATGCGCAACCTTGATTGGGGCGCAACGCTGGGAGGCCCCAGGGCATTTGCGGGGCCTCACGGCGGGCGCTTTTGGGCTCGTGGATGTGTGCGCCGCCTTGCTACTCCATAAGACGGGTGCCATATCATTTGGCTTGCGCGCCAAGTCCAAGGCTGAACGGGCGGGAACGATGGAGCATACACATAATGACGATCCGCCGAGCCCTGGCGCAGGACGGGGAGTTTGGGATAGTATCTTCACGAATGGGCAGTCGCCCAAGACTTTTAGAAGTGGTGGAGCGGTTCATAGGCCCGGCTTCATGGGGATGTGTGCACGCACTGTTGTCATTTTATCATATTGGCTGTAGAGTTGACACTGCAAAGTGTTTTGCCCCCGCTGTGCGCTCGCGAATGGGACCTGGTGGATTTACCGCCAGATGGCCGGCGTTCCTCGTGCCACTTTTGCATTGGGACGATTGACTGGCCTCAAGGACATGATGGCCAGTGATCTCACTGCACGGGATGGCCCGAGCATGCCACCAGGGGAGTCGTACAGAATGAGGGAGCTGCCATGCGTGATCGAGTCCGGCAGCTGCACCCGGTGAGCAATGCCACCAAGGGCGCTGCTAAGATAGCTCGATTTGTCCAGTTGGCAGCTCGGTGTACGCAAGAAACGCGAGTGTCAGGAGGTCAGCGACATTTTAGCCATTGAGTTAGGCCTTGCAAAATGACCGGTGGATTGTTTCTGCAATTTCTCACTCGCGATAGATACTCAATCCACACAACGCTCGAAGAGCTGTGTGCACGCATTAGAGAAGCCACTATGTAGATTTTGGTACGCATAGCGTACTGAATTACTGAATTACGTAATTGCCATAGAATCGACATAAGATGGCAAGCTGCCCCAAACCGCCGCTGATAAGCAGCAAACAGCGCATAACTTGTTCCTAAACCTCACTCGAGCGTTCAATCTTCAAAGAAGGCCTTGGAATGTATCAATTCACAACCATTGAGGCTGCCCGCCTCGCCAACCATGGCCTTTTAGAATTTCATGTTTCAGGCCAAAAAAAAGAAATAATCAGTACAAGTTTGACTGTTTTCTGTTCCTAAAGTACACCTAGAAGCTCTGTAACGTTGTCAGATAATGTTGCTGAGTCATCCTGGCATTGACGTATGGAACGCAATTAGGATTGACGCTAAGGAGGGGGTGTCTGAGCTTATCGTCAAAATTGACGCGAAACGTACCAAATTCGGCATATTGCCTTCCGTTAGAGATCGCCATTTCTGTCTCGCCAATCGGCACATATATTCTGACCTCCTTCTGATCCAATGGGGATTGGAATTCTGACTACAGCTGCTGGGGGTGATGCCGGACAAAGACCGCCACCACCTTGGCGCTGTGTCAGGCACCAGATTCTAACTCCGACGCCAAGCGAGATGAACTGAAAATTGAAAAAGTGGTCGCGTTTTCGGTGAGAACGAGAGAACGGAGACAGGCAGTCGAAGAAACTTTAACCAGTTTTCTAATGCATGTTTGGAATATCTGTACATAAGGGCAAACAACATAAGCCAGCCCTTGTCCTGCCATAAGACTTGTGCCGTCGTTCAGTGAGTGCGGTGTCGCCACCAGTTGGCAGCAACGCAACGCTTGACAATGCGGAACCATCCAAACATCCCATCAGCCCTAGGGCATCCCCAGCCCGGCGGCAGTCATGGCAATTCAGCCCCTTTTCTCGATCCCTTTCTCTCGATTCCTTGGAAAGTCGCACTGTGCTGTGAGAGCAAAGGGAGGGTTCCTGACGCCGCCGCCGCTCCCTCCGTGAAATTGGATGGCCCCGGTCACTGCATACCAGACTGGTGTTGTGTCACAAGATCTGATGCTCCAGGAAATCGAACTGGACCAAATTGAAGCTGGCAGCAAATGAGGCCTGGAAGGGGACGGCACCATGACCAAATGGCAGTGCTGCCAGTGATAGCACACTGCATGGTGGATCATTCTGTCTGGCGACCTTGCTGTGCTAGCAACGCTGTGTGGCAGTGCCGTGGATGGATGTTGTGCTTCTGTCAGCTGGCCTTGTGCTGTTGCTTGATCCATTGTTTCAAGTATTTGTGCACATAGCCGTGCAAATTGGGGTATGCATTGTCTGGTGTTTGAGGATTTTCACCAGGTGCCCTCTGTGGATTCTGCAGTACAGATGTACATCTTTGCTGCTAGCAGCGCAGAGAGGCCATGTGGCTGATATAGAGGTGCTCAGCGATAAAAAAAGGGCACAAACTTGAACCATCAAACGATGCATTGTATTCTGTCCTGACTCATGCCATATCTAGTTGTTTTTGGCACATGAAGAGCATTGCGTCAGCATTTATACGTCATTGACCCGGGGGGTGCCGCATTCCACGAGTCCACCTGTTCTAGGGTATACAAATCTGCACACTGCCCTTGTCCTTCGTCACCATTTACATCATGGGTTCAGCCCATAACGCTTGAGGGACACCGCCAGTTCCTTTATAGCCCACCACCCGGCTTGGACCCACAAATGGAAGTTCTGAAACAAGAGAAATACCTTGGAATCTGCAAACAACAGAGAACTGGCAAGCGCCTGAGCATATATTGAAAATCGAAAATGTAGTACGCTGCACGCTCTCAGAGGCTGTGCAAAGCCCATGCAACTCCTCAAGTGCATGATACGATGCAGGTTGAGACAGCCGGCACTCTCAGAAAGCCCATGCCCAGTAGTAACGACCTTATAAATTCAAGGTGTGAAGCTTGCTGAGACTCTCAGGAAGTTGGGCCCAGGCATTGCATCCTACCAAAATCAGTGTTTGAAGCCGGCTGAGATACCCAACGCTTTCAGGAAGCTGCACCAAGCCTTTGCAATAACCCAAATTAAGGTTCCCAAGCTGGTTGAGAGATCTGACGCAATCAGGAAGCTGTGCCAAGCCCTCACAACAATTCAAATTCAAGGTCTTAAGCAGGCTGAGAGACCCAGTACTCTCAGGAAGATGTGCCAATGCCTCGCAAGAGCGCAGGTTAAGGCTCTTAAGCTGGCTGAGAGACCCGACACTCTCAGGAAGCTGTGCCAAAGCCTTACAGCCTTCCAAATCCAGGGTCTGAATTTGGCTGAGAGTCCGAACACTCTCAGGAAGTTGAACCAACTTCTAGCAAACAGTCAAGTCAAGCTTTGTCAATTTTGCCAAGTGCATTACTGCAGGTGGAAGTGAATCCAAATTTCCACTGCAAATGTACAGTGCCTTTAAATTTGCCGCCTTTTCAATGGAAAATCATGTCGGGACTGGCTGCCTCAGGTCACCTGGCTCTTCAGGGAGTTCTTTTAGTTTCGTACATCCATCTATTCTCGACAGCTCCAAGAATTTCAGGTTCTTCATGATTGCATCGACATTTTGAATGGCAGAATTGGAAAAGTCGAGAATATTCAAACACTGGGACAAACGCGGGCTTAAAGGCCACTCTACTAAAGCTGAGCCTCTTGCAACGTTGCTCACTAGCAATGGCGCCCTGAACCCAACAGGCCAACAACGCAGAGGACTGCTGCATACTGACATTTCCTTTGACTCTACAGTGCAGTGCTTCAGTTGATGTCAATTGGGAACAGGCTTGGTTTTTGCGCCGTAAAAACTGATCGTATGTACGTTTTTACGCGTAAAAATGTGTATAAATATGTAAATACAATGTAATAACTGCCTGGTGTACATAAAGACTATACATGCAGACTTGCGGAGTCCGGAGAGTGGCAGCCAGACGCCCTGGAAGGGGAATAAAGCGAGCTTCTGTTAAACCCCATCATCGCCCTTGCCAAAGGCGATGTATACATTGTGCTGCGGGTGCTGGAGATGGCCGAGCACTGATAATTGTACGCGACTTACACCGTGTAACCTAGATGTCGCAGGGACCCGTAAAAAGGTGAAAATAGCCGTAAAAATAGCCCCTTTTCCAAGTTTACGTTTTCACGCGTAGAAACGTAAAAGTGAAAATGTAAACGTAAACATAAAACCAAGCCTGATTGGGAAACAGCAACCTCTCACGCTGCATCACATCTGCACCTGCAGCTGCCTGATGCGCACCAATATATCGCACCATGTCATGGAAATGACAAAGCATGTCACAGAGCAGACCCGATCCATCTTGCAAAATTAGGGCGCGATCCACGAATTGTAGGTACACTGCATAGCCTTCAAGCAGCACATCATCTGTATCCAATCCATGACAGGTAGCACCTTGGCAAGCAGCCCACTGCTCAACCCAATCAGACACTCTCACATGGGCATCCTCAGAGTGCGCAACAGAACAAAGTAAGAAGCTTTTCTGTGAATCGTCCAATTCGCCATAGCTTGTCCGAAGGACAGACAAAAAACCACAGTCGTAAGTTTTGCCCAACGTCTTAAATTGTGGCAATTTCTTGGCACCAGACATCCATTGTTCCATTCCTTGGTACCCCTTTGCCATGGAACCACCCGCCATGCCAATGGCAGTTGTGCACATTCCTTGATCATGTCACGGACGACCATCCAATATACATTCTCTTTTGTCGGCAGGGATTTGGCAAGTGGCAAAGGCGCATCTAAGTTTAATTTACGTATTTTCAAGGTTTTCAACATGTAAAACGCAAAA